TCTAGCAGGGAAATATAATTGTAGTAACATAGTAGCATACTGGTTCTAGAGGGGAGATATACTTGTAGTAACATAGTAGCATACCGGTTCTAGCAGGGAGATATACTTGTAGTAACATAGTAGCATACTGGTTCTAGCGGGGAGATATACTTGTAGTAACATAGTAGCATACCGGTTCTAGCGGGGAGATATACTTGTAGTAACATAGTAGCATACTGGTTCTAGCAGGGAGATATACGTGTAGTAACATAGTAGCATACCGGTTCTAGCAGGGAGATATACTTGTAGTAACATAGTAGCATACTGGTTCTAGAGAGGGAGATATACTTGTAGTAACATAGTAGCATACCGGTTCTAGCAGGGAGATATACTTGTAGTAACATAGTAGCATACTGGTTCTAGAGGGAGATATACTTGTAGTAACATAGCACATAGTAGCATACCGGTTCTAGAGGGGAGATATACTTGTAGTAACATAGTAGCATACCGGTTCTAGCAGGGGAGATATACTTGTAGTAACATAGTAGCATACCTGGTTCCTAGCAGGAGGAGATATACTTGTAGTAACATAGTAGCATACTGGTTCTAGCAGGGATATACTTGTGTAGTAACATAGTATACATACTAGCAGGAGATATACTTGTAGTAACATAGTAGCATACTGGTTCTAGCAGGGAGATATACTTGTAGTAACATAGGTAGCATACTGGTTCTAGCATAGTAGATACTGGTTCTAGTACTTGTAACATAGTAGCATACCGGTTCTAGCAGGGGAGATATACTTGTAGTAACATAGTAGCATACTGGTTCTAGCAGGGAGATATACTTGTAGTAACATAGTAGCATACTGGTTCTAGCGGGGAGATATACTTGTAGTAACATAGTAGCATACTGGTTCTAGCGGGAGATATACTTGTAGTAACATAGTAGCATACTGGTTCCGTGTCATAGCAGGAGATATACTTGCAGTAGCATACCGCTTCATACTGGTTCTAGAGGGGAGATATACTTGTAGTAACATAGTAGCATACCGGTTCTAGCGGGAGATGTACTTTGTAGTAACATAGTAGCATACTGGTTCTAGCAGGGAGATATACTTGTAGTAACATAGTAGCATACTGGTTCTAGCGAGGGAGATATACGTGTAGTAGTACATAGTAGCCGAGCTGGTTCTAGCAGGAGATGTACTGCTTGTAGTAACATAGTAGCATACTATGGTTCTAGCGGGAGATATACTTGTAGTAACATAGTAGCATACCGGTTCTAGCGGGGAGAGATATACTTGTAGTAACATAGTAGCATACTGGTTCTAGCAGGGAGATATACTTGTAGTAACATAGTAGCATACTGGTTCTAGCAGGGAGATATACTTGTAGTAACATAGTAGCATACCGGTTCTAGCGGGGAGATATATACTTGTAGTAACATAGTAGCATGCCGGTTCTAGCAGGGGATATACTTCTAGTAACAGTAACATAGTAGCATACTGGTTCTAGCAGGGGATATACTTGTAGTAACATAGTAGCATACTGGTTCTAGCAGGAGATATACTTGTAGTAACATAGTAGCATACCGGTTCTAGCAGGGAGATATACTTGTAGTAACATAGTAGCATACCGGTTCTAGAGGGGAGATATACTTGTAGTAACATAGTAGCATACCGGTTCTAGCAGGGAGATATACTTGTAGTAACATAGTAGCATACCGGTTCTAGAGGGGATATACTTGTAGTAAAATAGCAGCATACCGGTTTTAGCGGGAAGATATACTTGTAGTAACATAGTAGCATACCGGTTCTAGGGGAGATATACTTGTAGTAACATAGTAGCATACCGGTTCTAGCAGGGAGATATACTTGTAGTAACATAGTAGCATACTGGTTCTAGCAGGGAGATATACTTGTAGTAACATAGTAGCATACCGGTTCTAGCGGGGAGATATACTTGTAGTAACATAGTAGCATACTGGTTCTAGCAGGGAGATATACTTGTAGTAACATAGTAGCATACTGGTTCTAGCAGGGGAGATATACTTGTAGTAACATAGTAGCATACCGGTTCTAGCAGAGATATACTTGTAGTAACATAGTATACTGGTTCTAGAGGGGAGATATACTTGTAGTAACATAGTAGCATACTGGTTCTAGTGGGGAGATATACTTGTAGTAACATAGTAGCATACCGGTTCTAGCGGGGAGATGTAGTTGCAGTAACATAGTAGCATACTGGTTCTAGAGGGGAGATATACTTGTAGTAACATAGTAGCATACCGGTTCTAGCGGGGAGATATACGTAGTAACATAGTAGCATACTGGTTCTAGCGGGGAGATATACTTGTAGTAACATAGTAGCATACCGGTTCTAGAGAGGGGATATACTTGTAGTAAAATAGCAGCATACCGGTTTTAGCGGGAGGATATACTTGTAGTAACATAGTAGCATACCGGTTCTAGTGGGGAGATATACTTGTAGTAACATAGTAGCATACCGGTTCTAGCGGGGAGATATACTTGTAGTAACATAGTAGCATACTGGTTCTAGCGGAGGAGAAATACTTGTAGTAACATAGTAGCATACTGGTTCTAGCGGGGAGATATACTTGTAGTAACATAGTAGCCGAGCTGGTTCTAGCAGGGAAATATAATTGTAGTAACATAGTAGCATACCGGTTCTAGAGGGGAGATATACTTGTAGTAACATAGTAGCCGAGCTGGTTCTAGCAGGGAAATATCAGTGTATTGAACCTTCAAGCAGTGCTCCATCCTCCCACCATTGTGCGGTCGTAAGGTTTATAAAGAGTCTAATATCATTAGAAACCAGTATCTGCCCCTCAAATAGATCAACATGTTATGTAATAAGTACCATAATTCACCAGTATATCTAATCATACTGACATTGACGGATGTCCAATCAAGTCTCCCGTGGGGGGCCTGCTCGCACTGTAGAACACCCTAATGCAATTGTTGCTTTTATTGGCCAAGTTGCCTGGGAAACAGCTCCCAGTTGATCCCTTGTTCATGAAATGTTGTCTCAAGACTGGATACAAAAAAAAGTGAACCTGAAACAGTGGAAGACCTCGCGTTGTGTTCAGTGATATAGGGAATAGTGAGACATTTTCAGTTCTGTTTTCGGTGATAAAGTCAAATTTCTCTTATCATTGTGGAGTGTCTTAAAAACTTGTTCTTGACAACAGAACTGACTGAAGCGTCTGTAAAATCATACATACGCAAGTTGTGGGGCAGGCAATGGTCGTTGAGATTGTAAACAAAGTGTTGCAAGTTGTTCTAAGCCCGCAGTGGACGTATTTCCCCAGATCACGTTGTCCAAGGATCCAAACACAGTAAATATATACACATGGAAACACATATCGCAACTCATGTTTTGCAAGTCCCACGTAGCCCTTTTATTACCATATCATAAATATTTTGATTTTAGATATGCACGTGCTACGGTCAAGTGTGAGCATCATTTAACAAATATCAAGTTTCAGTAAACTGTTCTTACAGCTCGACAACTTGGAACCCATTATACAACCATTATACGTCTCATCTATAGGCGGATCCAGGATATACACACACACACACACACACACGCACGCACGCACGCACGCACGCACGCACGCACACGCACGCACGCACGCAGGCACGCACACATTCCGCCAATGCAAAAACATTGACTTCAATGTGGTCTTCAGTCATTTTCAAAAGGGGGTGGGGTGTTCGAACCCCTGAAACACACACACACACACACACACAAACACAACACAACACACGCGGATCCCGCGTCGGATCCGCCAATGCGTCTGTTGTTATCCCAAGAAAACAAAGCAACACGTCCAGCTTGGGGTCAAGGTCGGCATCATGGGGATGGTACCACTGGTCTTTTGTTCTTAACTGATGGCCGAGCTTGTGCTGTTGGGCGCCGCGGAAATACTGACATATTTGTACAACGGGTATTGGAGCAAGTAACAAGGACTGGTCGGCCGTACAATGTGACGGTGTGGGAGTGCTTTCCACGGTACTGTAAACTTGACATTTAATATCTGAATAGACAACGGTACATCACTGACATCCTATCGATCGGGTTGTTGACATCGATCGGGTTGTTGTCCCACATTTAGATGACCATCCTCTGAACATAAGGCCAGTCTTCATGGGCGACAATGCTGGGCCACCGTGTACGCGCCGTTGATGATTTCTAACGTCAGGAGGCGGTGGCAAGTACAGCTTGCCCATTGGAGCCCAGGGCCCCGTTCCTCAAAGCGATCGTAGCGCAAAGTTGATCGTAACTCCCATACTTTAACATAGACTTACGACTGTTGTAGCGCTACGATCGCTTTGAGGAACGGGGCCCAGACCTCAATCTCATAGAGCATGTTTGGGACATTATAGGTCGCAGAATACGATCCAGAGTTTTTCGTTCTTTTTGCGTTTAACTTTGCCATCTAATAAAATTCCTTTAATGATGGTCAGTTTATCCAGATAGCAAGTGAAACTGAGGTTTAGATAAGTTCCTTTGCTATGGTTAACAGTTAATGGGTAGTTGCAAAACTTGTTTTCACATCTGTATGCGTGTGCGTGTGTGTGTGTGGCAACAAATTATATATTGTATAATACGAGGTGATTCTAATATAAAGATTGATTAGAAATGTGTTCTCCTCCAGGCACATACTTCATGTGATATCCCTGATATCTTTTTGTTATCGTCAGTACAGCTACTCAAATTCATATTCACACACATGATACAAACTATGTTCGAATAAGTATCTGTTTACAGCAACTTGATCACAGTATAAGATCTACCCACTGTTCCAACCTAAATGTTGTCCACTGAAATCCGAAGCTCAAAACAAAAAATATCAAACAATTCTCCCAGTCGTATATATCATCCTATGTTCTATTTTTCCGTCCACACGTAATAAACATTACAGAAGTGAGGTCCATATGTGTTCATGGAGATACGATGTTTCTGTGAGTGGGCGTGGTCTGTTGGTGTTATTTGGATCACGTGAGCAGCACATGACCGTGCAAAATGGCGGCGGCCACAGCCGCTGATTCGGGCGAAAAGTCGGCAACAGCCTCAGGTGGCGTTCAAGAACATTTGTATAAAGTACTCGTAATCGGAGAGTTTGGTGTAGGTAAGATAACCCTTCAAGTATGCCGTGAAGTTCCACAACTTGATTCATACATGACAGTCAATAACTGACAAGAGCTAGGTCCACCCCGATCGAGCAATTACTTACACTCGACTGGACAACAAGTCCCGTGAGTTCGACATGTCAGGGATAACAATACAAACCGCCGGTCGAAATACATTTCCTCTATCAAAGATTAAAGTATTCAAATAGTTTTTGTGGAAACGTTTTGAAAACTTTGAGATGAGTGTGTTATCGAACACTTTTATCAGCAGAAGGAAAGTTCAATCGATAAAATCCATAGAAAAAAAGGTTTCAGTAAATCGACAAACTATACGTGAATGTAGAACATGACAATTTCTTAAACACGGGAGCATGTATTCTAGAAAGTTGTTTTTTTTAATTAATGTTATTCATCTATTTTGTCCTGAAAACTGTTGAAATTGGCTGTTGTACCTCAGCTGACATATTGAAAACTGATCTTGAATTACTATGACCTCATCAACTACATGCATTTAGTGTTTGCTATTCCCTACAGTCACCACCTGTGTATGCACCTCGGTATCAGGTGTCTCCCTCTGTCTACAGCAACACACATGTATCACAACACTTGACTATCTATTGCTCGACATTCAATCATTGTAATAGCAACCCAGTACATATCAACAACACAGGCACTATTTTCTAATAACAATCTATTCATGCAACAGGTGGGACTTTTTATTACAAGTTGAATGGACAATTAGATGGACTCACAAAGTGCCCCAATGCTATGGATCAACATTTTGTTTTCAGGAAGTGTCATGAAAAAATTGCACGGTGACTATGAGAGGTCGTCAAAATTATGACAAGCATTAGGAAGTGTTATTGATATTATTTTCACTACATAAAAAAATGAAAAACCTCTGATCCCCCTCTTGTAATAAATGACTGGCTGATTACTTGCAGTAGAACTCAATTCAATTACTCTGTTTCAACATTTTATTTCCACAGGCAAGACATCAATCATCAGAAGGTATACTGAAGGTAAGATGGCATGAAAATCTGTCCTTGGTTTATTATTGTTTGCTTCTTCCAGTCCCATTTCACCAACCACCTCCGTGGTGTAGTGGTTAGAGCGTCCGCCCAGAGATGGGAAGGTCGCGGGTTCGATCCCTGACTGCGTCATACCAAAAGACGTTAAAATATGGTACTTGTTGGTCCCTGTCTGGCTCTCGGCATTAATGGGTACAACAAGGACTGGTCGGCTCGGAGACAGTATAATGTGTCTGAGTGGGGTATTCATGCTTCACTGCGGCATGGTATCTCAGTGGGCTAGCACTATAAAACCAGCTTCAGTCTGGGCTAGTACAAGCAGCCGCACATACACATACACACGCATGCACGTCGTCATATGAGCGAAATATTCTCAAGCACGACGTTAAACCCAATTTCACCTCACCTCACCAATTTCACCAACTAAATCACTGTCTCTCACATGCACACAGTCTCACACTCTCATACTGACATATTGTCACTTTCACACAGATTCACACTCACAGACACATTCATACTCACTCACTAACACACGTACAGCCTTGTCACTGATTTACCAAAGATATGTTTACAGGGATCTATTTTATCAAAGAGTCCTGAGACATTAAGTCTTCAGGAAAAGAACACAAAAAACACTGGAGAATCCTCCTTGGTGTAAACCTGACATGATACATTGTCACCATGACGACACCAGCTCCAGGAGACTTGCTAATGGTGTTTCACAACCAGGCCTCTGTGTATCTTGGATCCGTGAAGAGCCGGGTTAGAATTGGTCTTCAGTAACCCATGCTTGTCATAAGAGACGACTAACAGGATTGGGTGGTCAGGTTCGTTGACTTGGTTGACATATGTCATTGTATCCCAATTGTGTAGATCAATGTTCATGCTGTTGATCACTGGATTGTCTGGTCCAGATTTGAATATTTACAGACCACTGCCATATAGCTGGAATATTGCTGAGTGCAGCATTAAACAACAAACCAAACCAACATCAGTGTATCCCGTTCCGCATCTCGAGACTTCAAGAATATGTTCAATATGAAGTCAGTGATCTCTCTGGCAAGCTTTAGTTGGGTTTTTTGCTCCCTGAAGATATACAATCAGTAAATTATTTAGTGATGGAATTTATATCCCCTACTGTCTGATTCAGAATCTTGCAATGTATGTCCTGTGGGTTTTCAGATTGTGCAATGAAAACTTACACTAGCTGAAAACCACTACAAGTATGCCCTCATCATCTTCGTATATTTATTTACTTATTTGATGCAGCTCTTATGATGTTTCATTTGGAGTAATGACATTACACATAACATGACATTTTTCCACACAAATAGCAATACTTTGTTGCAATTTTTCTTTGTAGTACAATGTATTTCTGTATCTGTATTGGAGCTTCTGACAAATATCAGCAGTAGATCCTGTCATATGACTGTGTGGCTCCATGACAGGCATTCAAATCATTATATACTCGTTAACTTCATCACAGAAAAAAGATTGTTCATAATACTTTTTTAAATTGTCACCACTCCTAACCTCCAGTCCTGCAGTACAGAGAGCTACAAAGTAGCTGAAGGATTGCAGACTGTCATAAAACAGCCAATTTATATAGATTCTTTGTTATCATCCTTTTGTATAGTAAAACAGAAACCTATATATTAATTTTTGTGAGTGTGTTGTCAATTAAGTTATTTAGATGGCCTAGAATCATGGCTGTTGAAAGCGAACATTAGATCAAATTAAAACAATTCTGCTTGCATTTAAAGATAAAAACAACAACCCTGTTAGTGCCGTTATCTTACTGGTAAAGCATGCCTTTTGTAAACGTTCATTCAAAACAACAACCCTGTTAGTGCCGTTATCTTACTGGTAAAGCATGCCTTTTGTAAACGTTCATTCAAAACAACAACCCTGTTAGTGCCGTTATCTTACTGGTAAAGCATGCCTTTTGTAAACGTTCATTCAAAACAACAACCCTGTTAGTGCCGTTATCTTACTGGTAAAGCATGCCTTTTGTAAATGTTCATTCAAAACAACAACTCAGTACATCAAATACATTCAAAAAGATATTACAACATATTATGATACCACAAAATATATCAGTTGTACTACCTACAGTTATGATAAATATATTTGTCACTTGCCATCTGTACTAATGGTTTTCAAGGATTTTGTTGATAAATAATGTATATATTTGCATAAACTGTTGATAATATATATGAGGCTTATTAGTGTATCCGGACATCTCTACTGGTACAGAAAATAAGAATTTTGTGAATTGCTTTTATGTACCCGATATGACATGACATGACGTGATGGCATGTGATGAGCTTGTACATCGGATGAAGTGATGATGTGTCAGATGTGTTCTGTACCATGTAAACCTGCGTAAAAATGGAAAATAGTACCCAAAATATTAATAACAAAACTACCATTGAAACGCTAAACAATACAGTTGTTTAATTAAAGTGAATCTGTTTCCTGCTTATCAACGTTGACAGTATTGCCTGACTGAGATCCACAATGCCGAGTAAGCAGTAGTCTCTTGTCAAGCACATGGCAACTTCACAGCTGCTGCTTCTGTCAATCTGGGAATATCAGTTACTATGGCAACCACAATTTTCATTGTTGTTTTTAGAGTATTAAATTCTTTGCCTGAAATATCTGGGGTTTTGTGCTGTGTGTTCCACTAGGACAATACAACCCTTCACTGAGCATGTGATGAAAATTCCTTCAGGTTGAACAAAATGGCAAAATAAGCGCAATTAAAGGGGAATGGACACTAAATATACTACCAAAAAATAAACTGTTCACATTGTAAACCAAATATGTATTGGAACTACAAAAAACAGGAACAAGCCCAGTAATTAGTGAATTGAATTCATGAACACATGCAACACATCTGAGCATCTTGAAAAACTGCATGTACCAAATGAATGTCAAAAAACTGCATGTACCAAATGAATGTCAAAAACTGCTTTCACTTTGGGAAGTTTAATTGTTTGATGTTTGATCATTCAAAAAATTAAACGGCTAATGAAGCGCACATCATGCCACGACTCACAACTGCACAACATAATGAGGCTATTGGGATCGTCCATGGGGATTGTCTCAACATCAGGGGCCTGCACATTTCCACTGCCATCATATAACCACTGTTGAGACATTATGAGAACAATTATGAAATTGCTGATCGACGTCCCCACGTCATAATGCCAAGGCAGGACAGATGGATACAAGTGACCATCTCCTGCACTCTTTCCAGACTGCCAGGACTGCTCAGGACTTGCAGGACTTTGGTCTATCCTCCCCACTGTCAGGAACCTCCTCTATCATTACAGGATACGACCACATAATGTCATTAAGTAAACTGTCATAGGTGGTGCTGAAATAATGTCCATCAACCTTGGTCATGGTGGAGGAGTTTTATGGGGGTCAAAATTTTCGGATACTTTAGTGGTAGGTACATGTGTGATTCCTGACATGATATCATGAGATCTGGTGGGTACATGTGTGATTCCTGATGTGATATCATGAGATCTGGTGGGTACATGTGTGATTCCTGATGTGATATCATGAGATCTGGTGGGTACATGTGTGATTCCTGACATGATATCATGAGATCTGGTGGGTACATGTGTGATTCCTGACATGATATCATGAGATCTGGTGGGTACATGTGTGATTCCTGACATGATATCATGAGATCTGGTGGGTACATGTGTGATTCCTGATGTGATATCATGAGATCTGGTGGGTACATGTGTGATTCCTGATGTGATATCATGAGATCTGGTGGGTACATGTGTGATTCCTGACATGATATCATGAGATCTGGTGGGTACATGTGTGATTCCTGACATGATATCATGAGATCTGGTGGGTACATGTGTGATTCCTGACATGGTATCATGAGATCATGAAGCTTTAATGTTTACTTAGATACAACTTACGTGATCTCATTGGGAAAGGTAGACGCATGAGAAATACATTTAGAAGAAATGTGGTTTGTAAGTTTGCAGTTTGGGCGATAATGATGACAATTAGACCTTTTTATTCCTTTGTCCATTGTTTGTCACTGGAAGAAACGATATCCCAAACCCCATATTCATAAGTTCTACTTAGTAATGACAAGTGACTGCAGTGATGAGAAAACTCTGAGTAACTTGTTCCTTCCATGACGATATAGGTGTAACCGTCATGACATGTGTTTGTTAAATCTATTTCGATGTATGGGTTACACTATAGCACTTGTAATGTACTATTGATCGATAGATACATAATTGTGTATTCAGTGTGAACCCAGAACTGTATGGGGGGCACCGTTCGCCCAGTTACGCTGTATACAGAAATGTAACCTAGTCAAGATCAGAATACAGAAACAATATCCTACATCAAGTCCATTCCCCATTGTGTCCTTTTCTTGATCAGAATTGTCATACTGTTGTATTAGATCCATCGGATTTTGTAATATACACAATAACGAATATTTCGCGATGCACAATACCACTCGCAATCGGTTGAACTACATACGACTTCGGTTTTGGGGTGTGGAATATGGGCTCGTCCCCAGTTTAGGGTACCGGGTATGTTTCTGTATTTGGACATTGTTTAGGGTACATTTCTGCATACAGAAACACACCTCCGGTACATATCTGTAGTACCTGTGCCAACAACGATTCCTTCATCCCGAGTTGTCTAAACTGCTGCAATTCTCTATGACCTGCATTACTTCCAACTTCATGCATGAGCCTGACACCAGGTAATGGAACTGGATTACCATTTGAAGCAGCGTTAAACTCACTCAGAATTGTGTGGACAAATTGAGTTGACTTAGGGTGTTCAAATAAAGTTAGTGATGGGTTTATATTGGAACATGAACCAAGCTGTCACAGACCTGTCCTGCTCATTTGCCTGGCAGTCTGTCGCTACGACAAGATAACACTGTACCAGACTCCCACAGTGTCGGGTGACGTTGATGAAGTGGTGTAAATCAGAACGGCTAATTAACGTCCACCATTGCCACAATGGTATATTAGCATATCGCAGCTGTTGCACCACTGAGGCAAGATTACAAGCACCATGCTTGTTTGAACAAAAACTGTAAGGTCATACACTGCCTTGCCTCACCTGGACCTGGGAAGTCTCATCAGGGCGTGGTCCCATGGGCACCTGAAGTGGTGTTGGGTTGCTGGTGTCGGTGGCAGGTGTCGGGTGGTCTGTTGACAGGCTAGAGTAGAGTCAGGATACACAGGTAATATTGAGTCATCATTACAATCTGTTTATAACTGAGTTATTGTAAGACATTGAATGTTTGTTGTAGCTTCTATCATCTGCCAGGGTTTCACATGGAAGCATTGCAGTTGAAATGTGTTTATGAGTAGGTTTACATTATTCCAGTTATAGCAAGGTCTGTCAGCCTGAAGCTGGAAGTGATGCAGATCATAGAGGTTTGATGTAACCCGCTAGGTCTATACTGCTATGACTTTCAACCTTTGGTTAAACCAGCTTGTATATTAGGTAATTTCAGATGTGAAGAGTTTGTAGAGATTGAGCGCTGAGCAGTCAGTTGAGTAAATGAGATGAGAAAATCTAGACTTGCTTCATTTACAACCATAGCATTAGTGCTGGGTGGAAGAGAAAATGTTAGAGTGTAGGACTGTGAAACAGGCTTGTAATGTGCTGTCTGTAGACTGAACCACTCTATCGTCAGTAGATGAGTGTTAGAAGGAGGGAAGGGGTCAGTCAATCCGCTGGTCATCCCTGTCATTACAGGCCTTGCTCCTCCATTGGTATCAAGGCCTCAGTGCTAATAGACTCCCAGCGACAAATGATGGATATCAACAGCTTCATCAATGTCTTCGCTGTAATACAAAGTTTGTAATCAAATAATTTTTTAGCACTCCGTCAGGAGGTAATTTTTGTCAGTTTTTGATGTAGTTTTCAATATTCTTTTTGCATTAAGATGTAATAAGCAATTCTTTCTGACAGCCTCAGTTTGTGTCTAAACTGCCGGCTTAAAAAGAGGAGGCAGAGAGATCTGTAGCCCCAGTTAATGACAGTGTGATAAGATTGATGTGACAGTGATCAGTGGTGGGGAAAGTATGATCTGAGAGGGGTCATTAGTGGGGGGACAGTCTCTCTCTCTCCATCCACCCTCCTGCAGGAGGAGAGAAACAGTGGATGGAGAGTTGGGATGGGGCTTGGGGATCCGATAGTTTCAACTCGATATGTTTGAGTTTTTAATATCATATTTTATAATTAACTGCATCAACTTTTTCCTAAGTGAAGACAGATCGTTACTCGCATGATAACAGGTGCTATCAGCTTTACTGAAACACTGAATTGAAAAACTGAAAAAAATCTTAAATCCATTTATCAGTTCTGTCTCCTTAGATAATACAGCATCTAAAACGCCACACAGATATTGCATTATATAGTTGTAATTTCCATGTAAATTGCAGTATCCTTGTATACTTCTATAAGATGGGAAAACTGACAACAGGAAGATGGACATGTTGTATTCTGTAACATATGTTATATTTGGGATTACACTTCTTAGTAAAGTACAGATTCCAGTACTTTTGTTGGGTTCAGTCCCATCCGGGATTCAAACCCACACCCTCAGAGTCCACTTTCTAAATGTCATTGTGTAATCATGTTGTGTTCTGCAGAAATGGATTATTAATAATTAATGATAATAATTGTTTGTTGTTTGATGCTGAACTGTACAAAATGTCATGATACAGCTTCAATGGTGGCGTCTGCCATCATCAGTGGTCCTCAATAGTACGTGCCTGTCGTGGATGTCACACAAGATGCAGATGCTGTCAGTCGCTACAATTACAGCTGTCCCTAGTGGCAGGAACATCACTTAATCAGTTCTGAGGTCACTTGTGCAGAGACATATCATTTATTCCTTCACTGAATTATTCATAACATGTATTCATGTATGTCAGTGACTGTAAGCATTGGCCAGATTGTCTGCCAGATTACAATAAAATTCAGATTAAGCCACTTCCCAGCTCTAGGTATTATCTGCTCTTGGTCATTCTTTGGCCCTTACGACCCATGAAGAGGGTTAGAATTGGTCTTCAGTAACCCATGCTTGTCGTAAGAGGCAACTAACGGAATCGGGTGGTCAGACTCACTGACTTAAATGTCATCATATCCCAGTTGTGTAGATAGGTGCTTATGGTATGTTAATCACTGGATTGTCTGGTCCAGACTTGATTATTTACAGACCGCCACCATATGGCTGGGATATTGCTGAGTGACGTTAAACAACAAACCAACCAACCAAACCTTTGCCTTTTACAAATGTAAGAGTGGATAGTAATTAGCAACAGAAGCTATATGTGTCCAGTCCACCTTCAGTCACAAACTGCTGATCAGTTTCCTCGATGTGTGATATAGATAGTGTACTTGCAGACAGATGGATTGTACAATACTGGATTGAATTTCTTGCAGGATATTTCTCACCCAACTATAAACTGACCATCGGGGTGGACTTTGCCCTAAAGACAGTAGACTGGGACAAGAACACCAAGGTCAACTTACAACTGTGGTAGGTCAACTTACAGCTGTGGTGGGTCAGCTTACATCTGTGGTAGGTCAGCTTACAACTGTGGTAGGTCAACTTACAACTGTGGTAGGTCACTGTGGTAGGTCAACTTACAACTGTGATAGGTCAACTCAACTGTGGTACAACTTAAACTGTGGTAGGTCAACAACTGACAAACTGTGGTAGGTCACAACTGTGGTAGGTCAACTTACAACTGTGGTAGGTCAACTTACAACTGTGGTAGGTCAACTTACAACTGTGGTAGGTCAACTTACAACTGTGGTAGGTCAACTTTCAACAACTGTGGTAGGTCAACTTACAACTGTGGTAGGTCAACTTACAACTGTGGTAGGTCAACTTACAACTTACATGGTGGTAGGTCAGCTTACAACTGTGATAGGTCAACTTACAACTGTGGTAGGTCAACTTACAACTGTGGTAGGTCAACTTACAACTGTGGTAGGTCAACTTACAACAACTGTGGTAGGTCAACTTACAACTGTGATAGGTCAACTTACAACTGTGGTAGGTCAACTTACAAACTGTGGTAGGTCAACTTACTGTGGTAACTGTGGTAGGTCAACTTACATCTGTGGTAGGTCAACTTACAACTGTGGTAGGTCAACTTACAACTGTGGTAGGTCAGCTTACAACTGTGGTAGGTCAACTTACAACTGTGGTAGGTCAACTTACAACTGTGATAGGTCAACTTACAACTGTGGTAGGTCAGCTTACAACTGTGGTAGGTCAACTTACAACTGTGGTAGGTCAACTTACAACTGTGATAGGTCAACTTACAGCTATGGTAGGTCAGCTTACAACTGTGATAGGTCAACTTACAGCTATGGTAGGTCAGCTTACAACTGTGATAGGTCAACTTACATCTGTGGTAGGTCAACTTACAACTGTGGTAGGTCAACTTACAACTGTGGTAGGTCAACTTACAACTGTGGTAGGTCAACTTACAACTGTGGTAGGTCAACTTACAACTGTGGTAGGTCAACTTACAACTGTGATAGGTCAACTTACAACTGTGGTAGGTCAACTTACAGCTCAACTTACAACTGTGGTAGGTCAACTTACAACTGTGGTAGGTCAACTTACATCTGTGGTAGGTCAACTTACATCTGTGGTAGGTCAACTTACAACTGTGGTAGGTCAACTTACAACTGTGGTAGGTCAACTTACATCAACTTACAACTGTGGTAGGTCAACTTACATCTGTGGTAGGTCAACTTACAACTGTGGTAGGTCAGCTTACAACTGTGGTAGGTCAACTTACATCTGTGGTAGGTCAACTTACAACTGTGGTAGGTCAACTTACATCTGTTGTAGGTCAACTTACATCTGTGGTTGGTCAACTTATATATCATACATACATTATTATTACTTTTAAAAATTACATGTATTTGTTTGTACATTTTTAAATGAAAGTATTACTGATTACCTTTGGTATGTTTCAGGGACATTGCAGGACATGAGAGGTTTGGTCACATGACCCGAGTGTACTACAAATATGCGTAAGTCATCTGGCAGTTCTGGCAGTTAAAAACCAAAACTACTAACATGTCTAAGACGTCAAATTATTATTAGGAATGATCCATTGGAGATCTATGGAACAGGAATTTTTTTTAAATAAATTGATTGTTCAGAAATGAATAGTTTGCTGGCAGTGTTGAAAAAAAATGAACAGTTTGTTTTATAGAATAATACACAAAATCATTCATTTGTTTGTAAATAGTGTAAATGAATTAATTGTTTGATAAAAATAATCCCCCCACATAACACACAAAGTAGAAATTTATCACTTCTGATCGATAATTTTTGTTATTTCATTTTCAGAATTGCAGCAATCATATGCTTTGACTTGTCAAGGTAATTATGTTTCAGTTGTTACTTGTGACAGAGTCCTTGTACATAACAATGATGACAGACTGGGTGTTCTACAATGTTTAACTGGCAAATATTCTCATTTATGCTTAATTTTTGTTTGACATTTTAGATTGCCCATATTTGATTGATTTATCATTTCAAAAACATATTTGATTTTGCAACATTTCATTTCAGACCAGCCACATTTGATTCAGTTCTAAAAGTAAGTTGGATGTTTAATCAATATGTCATGCCCTGTTCAAACATCATTAACAGTTAGTGTTCCGCCTGATCCTGAGATAGTCCTTGCAAATTATTTCTTTTGCAAAAATTTACTGAAAAAAGTCAAGAAGTACAAGCGTTCCTTCTACTTTAGACCCCTCTTTGTCTTTAAACAACTCTTTTTCCATGTATTTTTAATATATGTGAACTATAATTGTAGCCTCTCTGGAACTTTTATACAATTATTTTTGAAGTTCTGCTTGACATTTCTATGGATGTTTGTTTTCATGTAACTTTTTCTCTTGATTTCCAGTGGCTGAATGATGTAAATTCCAAAGTGATGCTAGCCAATGAACAGCCAGTACCAATCATGCTGCTGGCCAATAAGGTGAGAGTTCGACTATGGCTGCTCTCATTTTCCTGGTGTTGCATGCCTTTTGATCCTCGGGAGAAGCTGAGTATAATTAGGGCAGGTGACTCCATACTTACCTCTTGGATAACTCTTCCGCTCATTGAGTCTTTTATCATCATAAGGATCAGCACCTATTTCTGATCACACACACTTGCCAATCAAACACACCATTATGATCCCCGGGATGACATACATTGTTGTACACCTGTTCTGTACATTATACCTGTTTTTACACCTGTCACACTGTTCCCAGTTTTACATGTGTCACTCTGTTCCTAGTTTTACATATGTCACACTGTTCCCAGTTTGACATGTGTCACTCTGTTTCCAGTTTTACATATGTCACACTGTTCCCATTTTTACATGTGTCACACTGTTTCCAGATTTTACATGTGTCACACTGTTTCCAGATTTACATGTGTCACACTGTTCCTACTTTTACATGTGTCACACTGTTCCTAGTTTTACATGTGTCACACTGTTCCTAGTTTTACATGTGTCACACTGTTCCTAGTTTTACATGTGTCACTCTGTTCCCAGTTTTACATGTGTCACACTGTTCCTAATTTTACATGTGTCACACTGTTTCCAGATTTACATGTGTCACACTGTTCCCAGTTTTACATGTGTCACACTGTTCCCAGTTTTACATGTGTCACACTGTTCCCAGTTTTACATGTGTCACACTGTTTCCAGATTTACATGTGTCACACTGTTCCAGATTTACATGTGTCACACTGTTCCCAGTTTTACATGTGTCACACTGTTCCTAGATTTACATGTGTCACACTGTTCCCAGTTTTACATGTGCGACATGGTTCCCAGTTTTTTACATGTGTCACACTGTTCCCAGATTTACATGTGTGACATGGTTCCCCAGATTTACATGTGTCACACTGTTTCCAGATTTACATGTGTGTCACACTGTTTCCAGTTTTACATGTGTCACACTGTTCCCAGATTTACATGTGTCACACTGTTCCCAGTTTTACATGTGTCACACTGTTCCCAGATTTACATGTGTCACACTGTTCCCAGATTTACATGTGTCACACTGTTCCCAGTTTTACATGTGTCACACTGTTCCCAGATTTACATGTGTCACACTGTTTCCAGATTTACATGTGCCACACTGTTCCCAGTTTTACATGTGTCACTGTTCCCAGTGTTTCTCAAATTCAGTGAAATGGCCTGAAAACACAAAACTGATTTGAAGTAAAACAGAGGTATAGATTATTTAAATATTCAGTCACTGTACAGTCACATGTAGAGTTGATGGGGCTGGGCGTGACAGCTGTCTGGTTACCCATGGCAACTGGCCATTACTGTATGGCAGCCACAAACACAGGCCTTCACTTGTCTCCCACTTAGTGCTGCCTCCCCTTCAGCCAACATGGCAGGTTGTCTTGTTCTTGATTATGTGATATTTTATGTTCAGAATTTGAATACATAAGTATTTCTTTAATTCAGTTTGTTTTTATATATGTATGAGATGGAATTATTAATTCAATAAGTACATGTGTCAGTTCTTGTGTCGCCTAATGTCATTGTGGGAAATGTATTGGATTTGTGTTATGTCTTAAAGTCTTAGTTGACATTAGGCAATTTGAAGGTGTGATCTATTAGTCATACCAGTGATCTCTGTGATCTGTTTGTTCTGCCGATGATGTCTGTGATTTGTTTGTTCTGCCTGTAATATCTGTGAAATCCAACTGAAATTCAGAAATTTTATATAAATCCCAAAAGGCAAAGTCATTTGCTAATAGATTCTAATGTATCTATTACCAGAGACCATATAATATGGTCTCTGCTATTACGCATGTGTTGTTTCCATAGCAACATCCAACAAAATGGCAGACAACTACAAAGTTGTAAACAATATGGGTTTCTTTAATTTAGGTCCTTAACAGATTGATGATGAACGTATGCAATATAATGTACTTTATATCACAATACTTGAATCATTATATTATATGTGTGATCTGTTGTGTGTATGTGGGGTTGATCTGTTACAGTGTGACATCGATGATGTAAATGCAGACGTAGGCATCCTCAACAAGTTCTGCAAGGACTACAACTTTATAGGCTGGTTTCAGACATCAGCCAAGTCTGACATCAATATAGGTAAGTTTCAGACATCGCCAAGTCTGACATCAATATAGGTAGGTTTCAGACATCGGTCAAGTCTGACATCACTGCAGGTAGGTTTCAGACATCAGGCCAAGTCTGACATCAATATACAGGTAGGTTTCAGACATCAGCCAAGTCTGACATCAATAGGTAGGTTCTGACATCAGCCAAGTATGACATCAATATAGGTAGGTTTCAGACATCAGCCAAGTCTGACATCAATATAGGTAGGTTTCAGACATCAGCCAAGTATGACATCACTATAGGTAGGTTTCAGACATCAGCCAAGTCTGACATCAATATAGGTAGGTTTCAGACATCAGCCAAGTCTGACATCAATATAGGTAGGTTTCAGACATCGGCCAAGTCTGACATCAATATAGGCTGGTTTCAGACAGGCCAAGTCTGACAGACATCGATCAAGTCTGACATCAATATAGGTAGGTTTCAGACATCAGAAGTCTGATCAATATAGGTAGGTTTCCAAGTCTGACATCAATATAGGTAGGTTTCAGACATCAGCCAAGTCTGACATCAATATAGGTAGGTTTCAGACATCAGCCAAGTCTGACATCAATATAGGTAGGTTTCAGACACAAGTCTGACATCAATATAGGTAGGTTTCAGACATCAGCCAAGTCTGACATCAATATAGGTAGGTTTCAGACATCGCCAAGTCTGACATCAATATAGGCTGGTTTCAGACATCAAGTCTGACATCAATATAGTAGGTTTCAGACATCAGCCAAGTCTGACGTCTGGTTTCAGACATCAATATAGGCTGGTTTCAGACATCGGCCAAGTCTGACATCATTATACATCATTATAGGTAGGTTTCAGACATCGCCAAGTCTGACATATAGGCTGGTTTCAGACATCGCGGGCTAAGTCCGACATCAATATAGGTAGGTTTCAGACATCAATACAGGTAGCAGACATCGCCAAGTCTGACATCAATATAGGTAGGTTTCAGACATCAGCCAAGTTCGACATCAATATAGGTTTCCAGACATGGTAAGTCTGACATCAATATAGTAGGTTTCAGACATCGCCAAGTATGTCAATATCAGACACATCAGCCAAGTCTGACATCAATAGGTAGACATCGCCAAGTCTGACGCTAAGTATAAGTTTTCAGACATCAGGCCAAGTCTGACATCAATATAAGGTGGTTTCAGACATCGCCAAGTAAGTCTGACATCAATAATAGGTAAGCTGGTTTCAGACATCGCCAAGTCTGACATCAATATAGGTAGGTTTCAGACATCAGCCAAGTCTGACATCAATATAGGTAGGTTTCAGACATCAGCCAAGTCTGACATCAATATAGGTAGGTTTCAGACATCAGCCAAGTCTGACATCAATATAGGCTGGTTTCAGACATCAATATAGGTGGTTTCAGACATCAAGTCTGACATCAATATAGGTAGGTTTCCGACATCACATCAATATAGGTAGGTTTCAGACATCGGCAAGTATGAATGTCTGACATCAATATAGGCTGGTTTCAGACATCGGCCAAGTCTGACATCAATATAGGCTGGTTTCAGACATCAGCCAAGTCTGACATCAATATAGGTAGGTTTCAGAAGATAGCAAAATCTGGATCAAAAGTGTATTGATATGAGATACACAGCAGTAGGTTGACGAGGTCTGTTAGTCACAGGTACAGTATGTTAGAAGAAGTAGGTCAGAGCTGATAACATTAATATAGATAAGATAAGGATGGACATATTTGACGTTGTTGTAAACAGTTACAGTATTCATAAATAATATATTAGGCTGCCATAACATTTTCCCAGGTTTATAGAAAGAAATTCTGATTTCTAGTTTGTATAGGATTAGTTTCCTAAATATGTCATTTATTGGGCATGTAGAAAGTTAGGGAAATTGTGACCAGGTCCAGAAATATAATCTTGAGAATCTGTTTTAACATGTGTGATATCAAGCATGAGCTGCCCAACCTGTGAAGATCCAGGTTAGAAGTGATCTTCAGTAACCCATGCTTGTCATAAGAGGCAACTTACGGGATTGGGTGGTCAGTCTCGCTGACTTGGTTAACACATGTCATCAGTTCCCAATTGCGTAGATTGATGCTCATGCTGTTGATCACTGGATTGTCTGGTCCAGACTCAATTATTTACAGACCGCCGACATACAGCTGAAATAATGCTGAGTGCGGCATTAAACAACAAACCAACCAGGATGTAAGATGAGCTCCCCTGCAGCATGTGAGTCGTGATCACATTACACATTTAAGTAGGTATAGATGTATAACTGTACAGAGTTTGATGGAGAGTTATTTCACACTGACCAGTGACATGCATTAGTGAGTGAGACTATGTATGTTTAACCTTAGACCACAAAGGCTTTGACATTGCAAAATGAATAAAAATATTTTGAATGCTTTTAAAAACATGTCCACATTAGTGAGTGAGTTTAGTTTTACGCCGCACTCTGCAATATCCCAGCTATATGGCGACGGTCTGTAAATAATCGAGTCTGGACCAGACAATCCAGTGATCAACAGCATGAGCATCGATCTGCGCAAGTGGGAACCGATGACATGTGTCAACCAAGTCAGCGAAACTGACCACCCGATCCAGTTAGTCGCCTCTTACGACAAGCATAGTCGCCTTTTATGGCAAGCACATGGGTTGCTGAAGACCTATTCTATCCCGGATCTTCACGGGTCTATGTCCACATTAACACATGAAGAGGAAACATTTTATGGATAGACAACTTCTTTACTGCAATAGATGGGACATTTCAGTGTAGATGCTAACATCATTATCAAGCAAGTGATGGTGTTAGCATCGACACCAAAACATTGCATCTATTGCAATAAAAGATGTCTATCATTAAAAATTGTTCTTCTTCATTACACCAGCTTCTAAATGCCACTAAAGAAGACACATTAAAGTATTTTAAGAACATAGGACATAGTGAATGCAGTTGTGACATTTCACCTGTAGAAATGTAGAAACTCAGTGACATCTAATTTTCCTTCAGAAAAATCTATGAACTTCCTTGTGGAGCACATCTTGTCCCTCCCCACGGAGAGCCAGCAGCCTAGCGAGCATGTCACCCTACAGTCCTCCGTCTCCTCCAGAGATGACTCCCCCGAACAGCCCCGAACCCCACACAGACAGGAGAGTGGATGCTGCAGCTAACAATGGCTGTATATAGTAGACACCACCAACCAGGGTCACCACTCAACAGTCAGGGTGGGGGTCGTCAGCGACTGGTCAGATATGGGTGGGGAGATAGGACTGGTCCACATCCAGTGCCTTTTGATGGGGGTCATGGCATAAAACAGGATTTCAGGGAGACGTAGGAAGCCTCATGAAAATCAGTATATGTATAAATTAAGTAAAATAGATTTTTTTTTAAGTAACAACATATCTGAGAGAAGGAAACCTACTTTAGGGGTCACCATGACACCCAGTAATCAGTGGTTGATCTTTAGGGCCTAAGGTACGTTCTGCAATGAGGGCTTGTTATATTTATCGTGTTGACCTCAAGTTGAACCAAATGGACCGGCTTGAATGGAGAAAACCACTATCGAGACATCATACTGGAAGTAATATGGTTTCAAATGTTATTGTTTCATTACGAGTAAGAAATCCACAATGTGATAACTTACATACTATTTATAGTTGATTTTGAAAATAATGGGTAAGGTGATCATGTTTAGAAATGTTACTACCAATCATGTTGCTTACAAGACACAGGCTGAGCTCAATTAATGTACCACAGCTGACATAGTGATTCTGCTTGCACATGTATATCTTATTTGTGTTAACTTGTATGGAATTATAAGCAGTTATATGAGTTATCAAAATGTGATAGATGTACTGCAAGTTCAATTTTAGTTGAAGCTTTGAATGACATATTTGAACATTATTCTGTTACATGTGCTTAAATCACAGTTTTCATGTTTATTTGTTTATTTTCAACCTTGATGAATACCTCATAATATTTTTGTCTTAAATCCAAATGACTGTGCCTTTGACATTTTAACTGTCATTATAGGAATGGACAGATAAGGTGGTGGGATTTACCTCCCTTGGTGGTGCTGGTGTGTGTGTGCGCGCTTGTGTACATGTTGTTTGTTGCAGAACATGTTCCTAAGGCTGTTCAAATTGGTGAAATGTTTCTCAGGCATGAATGGAGGTTTAAAATGTCAAAAATGATATAGGAGTGTCCTTATTTCAAGTGTCCCTTTTTTCATATGTTATGGTAATCATCTGCTTGAACAAGAACTGCAGACTTTTTGATGATTTTTAATTGTTCCTGTCTTTTGAAAACCACATGCCGATGAAACAATTAATTAATTCATGGAGTCTTAGACATGACGGCCTGTGGCACTACCTACTTGATAAAGTGTTTTAACCACATGTATATTATACTGAGAGCACAGAGGCTTGAAATGCCAAAAAATGTCAGCAAGGTATATATTGTCACTGATGGGTCTTAGCACTAAGGGGCGGTGGGGTAGCCTAGTGGTTAAAGCGTTGGCTCATCACACCGAAGACCCTGGTTCGAATCCCCACATGGGTACAATGTGTGAAGCCCATTTCTGGTGTCCCCCTGTGATGTTTCTGGAATATTGCTAAAAGCGGCGTAAAACCAAACTCAGTCAGTCAGTCAGTCTTAGTACTAAATAAAGTCCTTTTATGTCGTGCTAAGATCCCGTAAGTGACAATGTATAAGTTGATGCCAATTCTTTTTGCAATACAAGTTCCTGTGACTGAGAAAAGAGAAAAATAATATTTTCTTTATAAAACTCTTCACCTTTGCAGGGTAAGCATGTTAAACATTGTATTTAAATTTGTTTAGTGTTATTTAAATGTATATTTTTTTTTTTTTCAGTCTAAATACGTTTTTATTACATATTTTTATGTTTGCCTATTTGTGAACTGTGTTGATTGTCTTGCTTGACTAACTTATTGTTTTACAGTTTTACTTGGTTACAAATTATTTTCAAAATTACTACATTTTTATATGTGAATAGAATTTATTTTGTTATGAAATCATACCTGTTATCATGCTTAGATTTTAATGAAACCTTTTGGTAATGTACATGTTGATACGTGTTGTATGTTTCAGATGTAATAATTGATATTTATGGGGAGATAACTCTGTGATTTGTTTTGCATAACCTGGTTGAAGTATGGGCAATATGTATTAAGCATGATTTCAGTGTCACTAGGCATCAAGTAAGTTTGCAATGCTGTTTTTTTTTCTAGTTACCTGTTGATTATTTGCAAAGAATATGTTAGTGAGTGAGTGTGTTTAATTTTTACGCTGCACTCAGCAATATTCCAGCTATATGGCGGCGGTCTGTAAATAATCGAGTCTGGACCAGACAATCCAGTGATCAGCAACATGAGCATCGATCTGCGCAATTGGGAACCGATGACATGTGCCAACCAAGTCAGCAAGCCTGACCACCCGATCCCATTAGTCGCCTCTTCGTAGCATAGTGGCCTTTTGTGGCAAGCATGGGTTGCTGAAGACCTATTCTACCCCGGATCTTCACGGGTCACAGAAACTGTTAAAAAAGTGAGTTAAAGGGTTATCAGTATTAAGTTTTAACTAGTGAGTGGGAGGTGAGCCAAAGTGATGTCGGACAAAGGCGTTTGCAGTTTGGTGCACCTCATTAGCATGGGAATTGTGCTGTGCTCAGAGAATACACCGATGAGCCTAGAGATTAAAGTGTCGGTTCGACATGCCGAAGGTCTAGGTTTGATTCCTTAAATGGATATAATGTATGAATCCTATATCTGGTGTCCTTTCAGTGTTATTCCAGGAATAGAGCTTAAAGCAGTGGAATACCCAACTCACTCACACACTCACTCACTCACTCGAAAAATTAGAATAAATGAGTAAATGTTGTTATGTGCCTCTGTCAACAAAATATCTCAGCTACACCACGTGGTCAGGGCATGTCAACATGCAGCTACAGAACATGACCACCTGGTCCTAGCAGTCAGGATAGCCAGGAATAATAATATGGTTTGTGTTTCTCACACACTGACATGAAAAGTAGGGAAGGGGAAGGGAGATTAAATGTACCATTCAAGATTGTTGCACATATCTAGCAATATACATGCATGTGTGCAGACATATCAGTTTTATAGCCCAGTTTGAAATCATGCTGCACTTTCACACGGATACCCCACTCAGACACAGCATGCAGACTCTGAGCTGACCAGTTGTTGTTTCACCACCTAAATGCCAATCACCAGGCAGGGAAACAACAAGTACCAAGTTTCCATATGCTGTGGCTGGGGACTGACCAACCTTTACACCCTGTGGACATAAGCTCTGTCCACTAGACTACAAAGATGGTCTAATAACTGTAGAAGCTCTATCCTCACGTGATATTTACATGTTTGTCATGTTGCAGAAAGCCACCAGAATAGTTTGTTTTGTAGTTGTACAGTCTTATCAGCTAATTATCCTGCATATAATCCTGTTGTCTCTACTGGTCATGTCGGTGATAATGAGACTAAATCAATCTCTCATTCAGTAATATAAAACACATGTTAAATGGAAGCAGTTTCATCATTGTAAAACATTTTTTAACTTGCAGATAAACAATTAATTTAGATTAAACTTCTTGATTCACAAAAAGCAAACATTGTTTGATGTCAGTGTGGTCAAGCTAAACATCTCTTCTAACCTCAAGCATAATCACTGGTCCCTAACATGGCAAATATATAGATTACCTCACCAAAGTGAATAATGATGGCATATTTGTATGAACAGTTTTTCAGATAAAAATCAAGCTGTTTTGTCTTCCTTGTGTGACCATAACCAAAAGTAAATACAAAATACTTGTTTTATGTCGTCAGTCCTCTGATGTGTTTTGTATGTGAAGCCAGTAGAAATCCACCACATTATGATACAATACAAGCTGTATCCCAGTAATCCAAACACATGACTGAAGATGTGATCATTTCAGGTATTCCACTGTAATACCATCAACCAGTGTTCATCCATACACCCATGTTTGTATAGTACACTGAGAAGGATGTGTTTTAGCCTATTTGTATCCTAATTTGAATGTCATATTGTAGACTCATTAATTGACTTTGACATGTAAAGAATTTTTATTTTAAAAAATTATACCCAAAATAAAAATGCTTGACTTTTCGCTTAATAAAGAGAATTTTGCACATTTGTGGTTATGTTGTTTATGTGAAGTTTAAACTACTCGAAAGAAGTTAATGAACATTTGATTTTTTCACGACTTGGTTAAAATGTCATGACAGCACAGATTAACATAGTCGTAAAAATAAATCAAGTGTTTTCCTTGATAGTGGATTCCATTACGTCAATGCCCCTTGCACATAATGTTAAACAGATGCATGACGAGTTCATTTGACACCTTTATATCAACCGAGTTGTCTCCCTTCCTCTATTATACCCGTGAAGGTCCGGGTTAGAATGAACGCATGGTTGTCCTAAGAGGCGATCGTATGGGTATCGGGTGGTCAGGCTCGCTGGCTTGGTTGACACATCACTGGACTGTCTGGTTCAGACTTGATTATTTACAGACCGCTGGAATATTGCTGAGTGCGGCGTAAAACTAAATTCACCCACTCACTCACTCTTCCCTTATTACTTGGGCAGTGAATGAATTGTGGGCATGCTTGTGTGAAGTTTGGGTCTGAACATTTTTCACCCCCCTAATATTGGATTAACACACTTCAATGTTTTAAAAACATTTTTACAATCAAGCCTTGAAAGACAAAACTTAAAGGTCACATGCAACCAAAAAATCAAACATAATGAAAACACAATTATCACTTATTCATGACATATAATATACATTGCTGATTATGAAAAAACATATAAACAAAATTATAAGCGTACAATCGCAAATCAAAAGTGCAATATTTTGTACTTGGGTTTACTTCCCTCGAAACGAAGGACCGGGATACCGAACCAAGTCAGAGCGGGTGGATGTGCACTCAAGTGTAACGAGAACTTTCATTGGCTGGTTCATTTGCCGATACCCTCACGGCTCGTGTGTGTGTTGGGTTTTGTAAGTACATGCTCATTTTTTGTGTATAACATTTTGCAATCAACAGACATCATAACATGTCATGTGTACAAGTATCACGCCTGCCTGTCTGTGTAATTACATAATGTGACAGAGACCGAACTCAGGGGGGCACAAGCCATAAATCAATCATCAATGCCTTTTGTTTATGGTGTATAGCCTGATAGGTGTTAAGTTCAAATTGCAGGTGGTCAATGATCGAAGTTGTGTATTGCATATTGTCATTAGCAGACAGGCAGGCAGACACATAGGTGTCAATAAAACAGACATTGAGTTTTGTCTGTGACAAAGACATATCTATATCACAGTTAGAAATTCTGTCAATGCTAAATAATGACATTGCTTTTAAGTATCGAACTGAGAAAGTGACTCGGTAAGAAGAACATGTTGTGAAATAGACAAATGAAATTATATGAACAGTTAAATCGGTAATCTACTGTCAAAACATATAAAAAGCTCACGCCTGTGAAATATCAACAAAACATTAGAAAAATAGCTCACATCAAAGCCTTCACCAAGTACTCACAGCCAGCGAAGGTTTTCCATCTTGAAATGTCACATAGCTGAGTAGATCTAGATCCCAACAAGGTTCTTTTATGTAACGAGTAGATTATTTACTATTTGTTTTGATTAGACTACTCCTGCTCACAACCTTATAATCCTGACATCCCGCTTCCAAGCTGCGCGAACCTATTCACTGCGCATGCGCTATGAGCGCAGCCCAGTTAAGCGCAGCACTGCTGTTGAAACCACTTTTCACCCCAAGCTGGGGTGAATTTAGTGAATCGTTTGAACTCTGATTTCGCGGGGGGGTGTGTGTGTGTGTGTTTTTTCAATCGCGTTATTTTTCAACGTTATAAGTTGAATTTGCATTTTTGCATTTGTATCTGTAAGTCCATACCGAAAGGTATCAGAATCTGCAAAGTTGTGTTTTATGTTGCATGTGACCTTTAAGCAATGAAGTTTTTTAATCTCATATTTTCATGCTCTTCCTTCAACTACTTACAATCGGTTACATTTCATGATAAAAAACAATGTCTCAGATTGTTAATACACATATTTATTGTTTGACAAATTCATAAATAGTATCAATAATTGTGACCCAGATTCCAATCCTGTTAATAGTAATATATACGGATGTTTCTAATGAAACAACAAACAATGTTTTCTCATAGCCATTACAGAACAATGCTTCCCATTTGTCATTATAATTCCAATCCATCTACAAAGACTAACTCCTTCTGTGACATAATGTTACATAGTGTGTAAGAGCCATCTTACTAAGATATTTCACTTCAATATGATACCTACATGCATAGATGGTCTGAAGACAGTTCCATTGAAGGTTGTGAATGGTGAACCCTGAGAGAACTGAGTCCAGATCAGATGTCAGTTTTCAAAAAGGATTCGCTTCATTTCTTTTACAACCTTAATTTGAATATTTCAATCTTGATGAAAGAAAGCCAACACAGATACACTTCCACAGTACCTCTATCTGGGTGTAGGTGTCAAGGTGCTCGAAAAGACAGTATTTAACAATCACCCACCACAATATAATTACACAGTTCTGTTTGGAACTCATTTATTTTATTTATTATTATAATTGTTTTCTATCACAGTGACATTTTAGAAGCTGTAGTACCAATGACAACAGAGTTGACAAATAAATTTCACCTTTTCTATTCTTCCAATGCAACTTTTCAGTACTGATGCTAGTCTGTCTCACAGTCCCTGAACCACATTATTTTCCCTACTGACAAGCCCTCTCTGCAGTGCTAAAGCCCTAAATAAAGCAAGTCTAGATTTCCTCACGTTCTGAATCTCTGGTCTCCCTGGGGCTCCTTTTCAAGTTAAATGGGCTTGTTTGTTACTATCAAAATTATATTTATTCAGAGACTAAGCATTAGTCTATACTGATGCTAGTACTCTTATCAAGCACTAAGTAAACTCTTTAACCATTAATATTCTTTTTGAAAAATGACACTGTCTGTATGTTTTACTATACATGTGTATGCACAAATGCCGATGGCTCATTAGAAGCCCAAATCGTGCTGCTGGTCTATGTTAAAGTATGGGACATGATCACCTTAGCTTTACCATCGCTTTGAGGAACGGGGCCCAGAAGCAACCTTCAATGGAGATGTCAGAGAAGTATCATACTAAATAAATGAGATCTTAATGAAATTGTTAATTACTGTAGATATCTAGTGAATGGTTAGTTAATTGTGCCAAATATATCAAGTGGTCAAAGAGACTAACTACACAGAAACTAAGTCTACTGAGTATCAGTAGATGTTAAATGGCAAGTCATATATGTTCTGTTTAAGCTGTATGATCAGCCATGGCCCACAAGGAGTAATGGGCTAAGCAGCTGATATTGTGGAGTTGTGGCAGCAGTAGAGATGTCTCCAGAGATCTGTTCCTACTAAATATTTCAACTTGCACACCAAAGGTACCACAACAGAGTCCAGTATATCTATGACAGCTCCATATTAACATAATCAACATCTGTACCCACTCTATCCCAAATGAGTTGTGTCTTATATTGACATGATTTCAGATCCTACATCTTAATGCATTACAGTAATACAGTATCATAAAGACAATGTGTACCTGCACACTGTGACTGACACTTCAGGATTACAATGTGAAATTCTACAAAGTCAAGGCAGACAGTGTAAAAGGACTCTCATATCCAGGTAATTAATACAGTATCACAACAAGCAACATATACCACAGTATATGTATGTAAACATTTTGATCAGTTACCTCAACACAGACATATTGCACGTGTAGTCAAACAACATGTGTCATAAATACCATGGCTACAAGTTGTGGAAATCTCATCATGTGAGAAGCAAGGCACAACATCAAAGGTTCCAATGGTGGAGGGTTAAACGTCATTGCATAAACAAACTGGGGTATAAGTGCCATAACCACCAGGAAAAGATGCCTTTGTCTCATGCCATTAAAACCTCAGTCATCCAGAACTTCTTTAGAGCTGATCCTTCTTTATTATAACATAAAGTCTGTATTTGTTCAAATCGCGTCCAAGCCACACTTTTCCACATCAACGATAAGTACAATGCCTAATAATAAATGCTGTAAGTCCTGTATATTGAATATTCAGAGTAACAAATACTGATTAGATTGATATATTCAGATAGATTTTCAGAAATCCTAAAACCTAGCAGATAACAGTGTTCAGTTGAAGTTTCACTTCAAACATGTTTCAACATCATTTTTGTAAATATGGTTTTGAAGTGATTTGTACATTTCAAGTTAACAGTTTAATTGTAGTGTCTGATCTGTGGTGTTTGTTTCTCAGTCGAGGGTTGCCATGTTACCAGTTGTCAAGGAAGTCAAATCCACTCTTTCTCAGGTCAGATGCATTCTGAAATGATAACAATACTTAATTCTACCACGATTATGAGGACATTTGTTCAGTTACAACTCAGAATTTGACCCTATCCCTCCAACAAATTACCTCCCTTATATCACATATAGGACACTGGTTACAACCATTAATTACAATTGGTATCATTGATTTACGATCTATACCCGCCATATAGCTGCAATATTGCTGAATGCGTCGTAAAACTAAACTCACTCACTCACTACAAGTGCAGCGTAAAACTAAACTCACTCACTCATTACAATCTATACAGGTGAATTATTTGTGAATATGTCGGAACATTGTTATATCTTTAATATTTCAGGTCTTTGAAAAATACTTGCATTTCTCTCCCTTAAATGATCATAGTTTTAGTTTTGAATATGTTCAAGTTTAAAATTAATTAAATAGACAATTGCTGAAGCAGAAATTCAGTAGTAATTTCTCGACAACATACCATCTCATCTGAGGTCTCCACTGCCACAAACAGCACCTCTTCCTGTTCTGCTTCGCTAAGGTCTGGCTGATTGGGCAGAAGTTTGGCTGTGTGGTCAGGTGTGCTCTCCACAGAATGGTCCGAACTCTCCATACCACGGTCCATTGTCATTGCCAGGGGTTCTTCTGTCACTGGCTCTTGATGAGTAGCCTCAATAATATCTGCCACTGGCTCTTGATGAGAATCGTTTATTAAATCGGTTGCTGGCTCTTCTTCAATAGATTCTAAAGAACACATGAGAAATGTTTTCATCTAATGTAACATCCCATTAACTTATATTTTGTTCTTAAACTCCTAATCACCTCATGATTTCATCAAGTTTGAGGAGAAAAGCTAATGAGTTACATAGAATTACTGATTATCTGTCCTCAAGTGTTAATCCTGAGCCTTTGGTGAGAGGATTATAACATTTATTCATGAGCGACATAAAATATGTAATTCCAAATAGGTTATTCTACATATTACTCATTGATATTTTACTAGGCATGACTAAAAAGACAGTTAATTGAAAGGACCATCAATGAGAAGAAATAATAATTTTCTATACCAAACTTGTGTCATCAATGATCTCCTACATAAACTCTTCTCAAACAATGAAGCACTGTTATGCCATATGGCTTTGACAGACCAATCCATACTGAGAAAATATCAGACATTTATTACCATATTCATTACATGTAATCATTCTACCGTTTTCACATTTTATGGGAAATTTTCATTGATATAACATTAGACCTATGAACAACATACCTTCTTGCATGTCCTGTGATTCCTGACCAACAAATGTGGACCATTCATTTGCCATTACTGGATTACTGAAAGCATTGTTGGTCTCGTCTGCTGTCTCTTTGATGATCAGTTTTTCTGTGGTCTCAATGTCAATTTCAGACTTGGAAAATGTGACTTTCTTTGGAATTGGAGATTTTGTCTTCTTAGCCTTTTCTGAGGTTTCTGAATGCGCTACAGATTCACTAATCACGCTACCTGAGCGTTCTGAGCGACTCTGATCACTGATGATACTCCCTGAACACTCTGACATTCCATGTCTAGGTGTTCCCCGTATATCCTGCACGCTTCCCTCAAAAGCTGGGTTGTCTTCTTCAAGGGGACTGCTGGCCCTTGATGGGGGTTTGCTGGTCCGAGTGTCCAGGTGGGTTTGGTATTCAGACAGTAATTCACTTGTCCACCTCTCCTCACTGTAAACAAACTGTGCTGGAGCAAGATTCTCAGGAACAGTCTCTTCAGCCTCAGTTTCAGTACTGCCAGATTTAGTTTTTTTACCTTTTGTTGGTGGTTTGTACAGATTCTCAGGTTCAAAGTCTGACAACGTCAGATCCTGTTGGCTCTGTAAAATTGAATTTAAAAATGCACCAGTTGTGAGATATGTAAAGAACTAAATATGTCCATTTGCTAAAATAAGGATTTGGGTATACAAAATGTAAGTGGATGCTAAGTCCTTTTCTCCCAAATAGCCGGATTTTGTAATCATTTTAGTAATTTGAGTCCAATTGTATCTTTTCCATACCTTTCGGTATCACTATCAGTGTGGAGATTATGATGATCTGTTCCACCAAAATGACATTTCATACAACATGGGTTTCTGACAACTGCCCAAAGTTACAGATTGGATATAGGACATAACTTTAATGATATTCGCTTGAAAAAAACCAGACAAGTTTGTGAGTGAGTGAGTGAGTTTAGTTTTACGCCGCACTCAGAGATATTCCAGCTATATGGCAGCGGTCTGTAAATAATCAAGTCTGGACCAGACAATCCAGTGATCAATAGCATGAGCATCGATCTGCACAATTGGGAACCGATGACATGTGTCAACCAAGTCAGTGAGCCTGACCACCCGATCCCGTTAGTCGCCTCTTACGACAAGCATGGGTTACTGAAGATCAATATTCTAACCCAGACCTTCACGGGTAGACCACTCTGACAACATGGACAAGCTACAAAATCACAACACAGTCCAAAGGTTAGCCTATTAAATGTCAGACGTAAGTATTCAGATATTTTCAGATCACCACCATGACAATGATGGCCACAACATGCTCAAGAGGTTTTCAAAATTTGACAAAGTATTTCATTATTTCAACATGTCTATGAATGTATAAGCTGTATAAAAAAACTTGCTTCAATAAGAATCCCAACCAAATTCTAGTCTAAACATTACCATGACAGTGTGTGTATATTACAGACTTCTTTTACAAAAGCAGAACAGAAAGGGCATGTAATTGTCTAGTAACTATTACAGGGGTGGAAATAACTTTAAAATTGCTAGTGTACTCGGGTACAGTGGCACATGTAAAATCACTTGCCCTGATCATTTTTCCACTATACCGGCTGTTTTCTTGTTGATTTTTTAACTAAACAACATTATTAACATTGGAAAGTCAACTGGACACCGGTACAGTGTGATATACAAATTTGCTTGCCCGACCGAAAAGAACACTGGACTCGGACGTCGGGCAATGGGTTATTTCCACCCCTGTATTATAGAAAAAGTTTCAGTTACTACAGTGACATCTGGAATACTTTCTATTACAACAAATGCAGAATATCATCAGACTATGGGTATTACAAAGAAGCATCATTGTTGACAAGTAATATATTATTCTGTCAGACGGACCGTCGACTCACCTGGCATGAAATGCATGTGCTGCCTACAGGCACAAGGGGTCATCTCAAAGACATTTTGTGCTTTTTAATGTGTGTTGACTATGTCTCATCTATTGATTAACATCTTATGTGTCTTTCTTTCATAAAGTTTATGTTGAGATATGTAAAAGAATATGATACTCAAAAACTATAGAAACGCATCGTAGTATATAGGTGGCATGACCACCCGAAGATTGACAGGACTGGATATTATTTGTAAATTGTTATGACGTGCCGTGTACCTCCCTAGTATAATTGCCCTAAAGGATTATCTTATCTTAGCTGATATCACTATCCCAAAGCCCGACCCCAGGTTTTGCTTTTGAGGCGACCCCTCCTATCTGTTTGTTTTTATAGTGACAGTGAGACTGCATGGTAGCTACATCCTTAATAGTTTCAGCATAAAAGTTATTATTTTTTACGTCAGCTATCGTTTATAATGAATCTACGTCTAATTTCAAATTGGGCATTTAAAAAGTGTCCTTTGTAATACAATATCGTTGCACACTAATTTGCATAAAGCCATGGTCTGTTCCAAATAAGTCTTTTTGGACTTAGTAAAAAACCGCATTGCTCATTTCTGCACTAATTTCCCTTCAGTAAAGTCCTTTTTCTCCGTTTCCTATCTCTCTAACCACAGAGACTGTAGTTAGGCCGAACTTAGTTTAACAGATATTTCACACTTTCACATATCAACTACATAAATTGTAGAGATAAATGACAGAATACAGTTTTTTTCTATTTCCGACAGTACTTTAGTAGTTCAATCACATCACAGCTTCACAATAAATATATGTCCAGAAGATAATGTTCAAATATTTACAATTGTTTTGATATGACAATGAATGGAACACTCACCTTGCTCTTCCAAGAAAATGGTCCTGAGTGAGCATCTCTCCATGTTCGCAACTGCAAAACACAAAAGGATATAAACACTGAAGACAAAAAACGGTGTTATTCCATCAGATTTCATATCTACAAGGATAACATCAATGTTACCACAAGCAATGGGCACCCCATAATCCCCAATCTTGTGTGTGTTTCTGTAACTGCAGACTCTTCATTTTGAATTTTATTTGGTTATTTATCATTTATTATGGTTATTTTACTACTAGTGATATTGACATTCTCAGTTCATTTACTGATAAAGCCTGTCATTGTTATATCTTAGAAGGTCTACCACACTATATTTTTGGCATCGAATCAATGCCATAGGGTTGAATATCATTATCAGCTTCAAGCACCTGAGTTTATCAACTTGTTCCTTAGCTAATGATTTACTAATGAACCATGGATACTAGAAAGTGATAATTTACAAGTAGACTACCATTCATTATTCCATATGTGTACAAATGGGAACAATTATAATTTATATGTCTGCTAGTCATGTTTTTTTACCAAACACAGAACTTCATAAACAAATACAGGTTTACCTCACAGTCACAAAGATCTAACAGTAACATTGGATCATCATTGGAAGTATGGGCTAATCACAATTTACTCAGAATTACAGACTTTGTTAAGATAAATTTGTTCAATCTAGTTTGGAAGCATTGCCTGAAAGAGGTTAGACAGCAGATGCAAATCCTATGAATTGGAGAGGTGTGCCTCAACAAGTCTGAAAAATTAATGATCAGGAGGTGACACTGATAGATTGAGAAATGGATCCGAGGACTAAGTATAGTATCGGAGGTATTCGGTATGTCAAACTCCAGTCAATAATCAAAAGGTATTCATGTAAGATAAGTGAAGCATGAGGTACAATCAGGTTTAATACTCAATTAAAACTTCATATGAGCTTTATTTTTACCACTATCAGTATCATAATTCATATGCATATGTGCACTTTGGGACACAGAAGTGGAACCTCATCAATGTGTTAGCAGAGACCATATAATAATAATCTATTATATGGTCTCTGGTGTTAGGCAGAGAAAAAGTAAGAGACGTTTGAGACTGCCACCAAAAACTAATTTCATCACGACCATGTGAACAATGGGGGAGAAAACTAAAGAGAGAAAGTAGAATATAGGTGCAGCACTAATAAATTATCCTCGCATATGTTAGTTTTGAACAGTTAAGAAAACATTGCTGATATTTCAATAAATAAGACAAAGCCTAAATATGTGTTCACCCTGATAGGTGATGTCTTTAACAATAGAACCATGTCTCGATATTGAGAACAGAATGCAATTTACCGTGAGAAGCTTATGGGCTACTAGGCCTTGGCTATTATTTGTTCTGAACTGCAGAAGGTAGATGTGGACAAGTTGCCCGACAAGTACCCCACTCGCACCAGGGGCCCGCACCACTATTGGACTTGATCATCAGATGCGCAAATCGTACAATTTCAGTTTTACGTCGTTTTCATCGACCATGATCTTCTCCCCATTGGGAATCATAAGTTTGGGGAAGGATGGTGGAAAGTCTGAAGCAGACGCCTCATTACGATAATGGTGTCGTATTTCAGAGTCCACAAAGTAGTCATCGATAACTTCTTCTTGTTCATCGATAGACAGGCTATTCCATCTATCTCCCAGATAAGATTTCAAACCCTCAGTCTGTCTATATGTGCGATTTCCCAGGAAACTTATGCCAAGCAAAATATGCTGTCACATCTGCGGTCGCCATTTTCCTTTTTTATTTTGAGTTGTTTCCCTTTGATAAAGGTATTTATAAAATATGGAATAGTCATGTTTATGAAAAATGATCCTTATGTTCACTCAATCGCAAAATTAAATGCTATGAAGCTATGATAAATGGTTATTTAATGATATTAGATGTTGTTATAAGGAATTAGTTGGCGGTGAATGTTTTATAATGACAAAAGATTTAAAATTAGGTAGAAATCAACACTTGTAATTAGGACCGTGCAGTATTACCGGTACAGTATCTCGCGATACGATTATCGCGATATGGTTCAGATTCTGAAATATATTGGGTCATCCAAAGTGAGCTCCATTTGAATTATCTGACATCTCAACTCAGACAGGTTCTGGAGAAACAGCGGGCGATGGTAGAGCAGAAATCAGCGACGTGCATAAACGTGGATGTGCAATTGTGGATCCAATTGAGGAGATCTTCATGTATATACGTTATATAATTTATTTATTTTTAATATATGGATTTTTCATTTTTACTTGGTAAGAAGCACACGTGCGTTGTTGTTGTTTTTTTTCGATTTTTTGTTGTTGTTTTTGTTGGGTTTTTTTTTTGGTCGCAGGTAATGGACTCATTATTCTCTGGCGTTGACCTATTATATTGTTTTGGGTTTTGTTTTAAAACTAGTTTATATCAGTCAAACTTTACATGATAATAGGACATTATAGAGGTATTAAATAAACTTCCGTGTCGTATTCATTGGAAATTGTCTTACAAGCGTTGTAATAACATAGTAAATAACGGTACTTTGCTGGATGATTCTGATAATCAATCCTTGATTATCATATCATATAAACATATCATAACACTTTATGGGTAAATGGCGGCCCGCCATGGTAACCTCCCAAAACTTAGACAGCCATATCTTAGACAGCTTAAAACAACAACATTTCTGGTTCAGTGCACAACTAATCCTCAAGCTGATACCTATTTCTTATAATGGATCAGTCCAGTAGAATCAATTAGACAAGACGTTATGTTCATTCAGCATATTTATTATAAGTTCAACAGAGATGAAAAAATAACTAGTAAATAATAAATATGGTACGTATGTTGATCATGTCCATTCTTGGCATATTAAGCACTGCATTTTCACAAAAATTTCCCTAAAATATATATGTGTATTGACATCAGCATTTATCAAGGACATAACACTTAATGGTCATTATCATTATCGCTGATCATGTACATTCTTGGCACATTAAGCACTGCATATATCTGTCAGCCTGATACAACATTTCATTAACCAAGATGAAGCAAATGTCCAGCTGCATCAAGGAACTGGATGTGTGTTTTCTCGACTTGCTGAAGTTGCTGCTTGAGTTTTTCCAATCTGTTGTCAGTCTAGCGGTAGATTCTCTTTCTGCTGGATGGGGCTGCTCCGTGATTTAACTGCGACAGTTTAGCTCTATCAGCATTCTCTATTCTCCTGATAATTACGATGAACCGGAAGACGTAGCCAATATTTAAAAGCTCTTATCATTGCATCGATATGTAAAGGGAATCTGCCACATGCACCCAATACCAAGCTACTAAATGCACATTGTTTAACATTCAGTGACCATTTACACGCCTGTAATGAACTTCCTCAACTTCTTCCAATCTATGGAATGCCGATATTTGAGATACATACAATAACAATGGTGGCATTTTAGTGAGTGAGTGAGTTTAGTTTTACGCCGCACGCAACAATATTCCAGTTATATGGCGGCGGTCTGTAAATAATCGAGTCTGGACCAGACAATCCAGTAATCAACAGCATGAGCATCGATCTGCGCAATTGGGAACCGATGACATATGTCAACCAAGTCAGTGAGCCTGACCACCCGATCCCGTTAGCATGGTTAGTCGTCTCTTACGACAAGCATGGGTTACTGAAGGTTCATTCTAACCCGGACCTTCACGGGTCTATGGTGGCATTTTAGAGTCAAATAACTGGAATGCAATTTTGGAGAATAAGACTGAAAACAATCAATGTTTTTCAAAAGGTTGCTTAAATGTCATGTCCACGACAGCCTGCTGCTAAAAAAAACACCTAAATATATATACCCTTTTTGACTTGTACAAGTTGTCCATTCAAATACCATGTTTCACTATTACTCAGTCTCAGACTAATCCCAAACACTACAGGTCAATGGTTGTCAATATTGACTGACGTACTCCTCAAAAGGAGTCCGACTCAGTCAAGAACGATAGTGCAGGTCTAGAGAATTGTTCCAAGTTGTTTTTATCTTTGTTTGTTTGTTAGTAGATTTATATTATAAAATAAAATAAAATAACTTTGCTTCTCACGGGACGAAACGTCAGTCTACTTTATCCCATCCACACACACATGACACATCTCGAGACCTTTGTCACTTGTGTGATACTCGCATTTATATATGCGTGTTTATACATAATGTTACAATTAGATGATTAACAAACGAACCAAGAAGAGCGCTTTTGCATGAAAAAGGCATGGTCGTGCAGCATGAAGCATAGCGGATTCACCGGGCACGTGTTTTTCGTGATCTACACGTGTCCTACCCCACTGACCAGACAGCTTCATCTGTGAAATTGTTACTGCTCAAACCCTGGTGTCAAGGGGCAGACGAGTTTTTCAGACATGGCTGGAAGGAAAACGTTTTGACAAACTTCTGCAGGTTGTATTTGCCTCTTAGATTCATGGCGAGAACATACCGTTGAAGGATAATTGGGTAGACTAACCATCAACAATATTATCGGAATCAATCAACAGAAATGACCGACGATTGATTTGATAAATTACCAGAGCAATGAAGTAAAATGACTTATTAGAAGTGTACATCTGATCAGAACACAATCGGTAAGGAGAGAAAACTCTGTCGGCTCAACGAAAGCAGCATGAGAAATCGGGAATGTCACTGACTTTGGTATTGAGTACACACACTCAAGAGACAAGCTGTAAGCGACGATGACATCGATTGGAATGATGTTATCATGGATGTTCATGAAAGTACACCAACTACTGGCTAACGTAGACACCGAACATACCTCCGGCAAGAATACAAGCCCAGACTGACACTTTAAACATCGCGTCGGTCCGTAAGAATATAATCTAAACCAGTAATCTCGATCTCAGTCCAGTGATTGAAGTCATGAACATCGATTCCGCAACTGGGAAACGATGACACCAGCCAAGTCAGTGAGCCTCAGATCTCCTTTGTCGTCATTTCCAACTGGTACTGGTTGCTGAAGATCAATTCACAGCACAACATCGTGAAATAATGATAATATCTTTGATAATCGTGGTATTCTGTAATTCTTTTCATTGAGATTAAAGGATTGGATTTTTTAATATAATTAGGTGCCGATGAGGGCTAGCTTTGTGGTCAAAGCGTTCGCTCGTCACGCCCTGGGTCCATGTTAATTAAGACGTACCACAACGAATGAAGCCCATTTCTGGCATCCACCGCCCCCATTTTGCTGAAATGATGCTAAAAGAGGGGTAAAACACAGTTCCCTCACCCCAAAATTATAGTAGGTTAACTCCTTTAATTGCCGCAAGAAGAAATACATGTCCAAACAAATGTTTTTCGGGGCAACAGTTGTTGTTTTTAAGGAACTGAATCAAACTAACCCGAGCGAAACAGTCGTCACCATTTAAAGTGACAGGACACCTATTTCTGTGTGTATTACCTTAAATTCTTTCAGTAGCAGTCTATTCCCGGCACTCGAAAACATAGGGGCGCCTGCATGGGTTTGGGCTCATGTCCTCAGCAACCTAGCTATGCTTGTCGTGAGAATTAGTGAGTGAGTTTAGTATTACGCCGCTTTTCGCAATATTCCAGCAATATCACACATTCTACCCATGTGGGGAATCGAACCCGGGTCTTCGGCGTGACGAGCGAACGCCTTATACCGCCCCTCGTGAGAGCTATAAGTGTCCGAATATAGATAGGGTGGTTGATTACATGTTCTGTTTACGTGGATCAATATCCATGATGTCAATCGCTGGAAAGACCGTCCCTGATAAAACATAAATATTTACAAACCGCTATCATATACATTTAGTTGGACTAGCTATTTGCGTCCACAACAATTTTAAAAAATAAATACAAATATAAATGCCAGTGCCCCAGGTCTTTTCTGCCTCTTGTCTCTTTGAGGGACGGATTTCTATCGGGGAATTTTTAGTGTTTACAAGTGTTTCAAGACCAATTTTATATATAGTCCTTTCAAAAAAATACAGCACATTAATTGTCATTCGACATTTTTTTTATTTGTTTTCACGTGCACATAAAATGAAACCTTTCATATATATATAACATATTGAAAAATTTATAAAACTTTTTGTGTACTCGAAACGTTTCAACGCTGCTACCACAGAGAAATAGAGTCATTGGATTTCGATACACAAAGTTAAAACGTCGTCTTAGTTCAAATCTCGCGCACTTGCGAACTTGGCAGAATTACCTCCCTTTTTCATACGCATGCGCATTCAAGCGGAATCTCGCCATTTGTGAAAGGAGAAATTTGTTTATCAAACAGGTTGAATTTGCAAAATGGATATAGATCTTAAACGGATGAGATCCAAATAGCTAGATGACTTCGGCATTGTTCTTCAGGAAGACAGCCAGTCATGGCGATATTAAGAAATCAGCGCAGAAAGTCGCAGACCCGAAGAAAGATACCGTTACACGATTGAAACACCTTCGATCTGTTTTGGGTAGGTTGTTTTCTTCATCAACTGTCAAAAGTCAGTAATTGCTTTCAGTGATTTAATTTCCGAGGTTGGGTCATAGTTCCTATATATAAGTATGTAGCAACACAAAATTCCAGAAACGGCAACATTACATGACGCAATTAAATGTTTGCTCATTCAAACTATTTTATATTATGATACACAACAACAATCTGACAGTGCTGTCAGTGGGCTTGTTGATAGTGAAAGCCTGTAAATGTCCATGATAATGAATGTCATGCGGTTTAGTATTAATATAGAGGAATGCTGCAGATCTCTAAGAATTACACATAAAATATTATTAAACCAGGGTTACCCATCCCTTGTTTTCATAATCATAACAATTCTTTGGCCATTTAATTCAGATCTAGTGTACAGTTCATCTCAGACTAGTTGTTTGGATACAGGATCACGAGACCCCAGTCACCAAGAGCTGAACAGAGATGATATGCTATGATGTCACTAACAAAAATTTGGTTTAACAACTTCTTGTACTTTTGTTCCAGAAAACTATGACTGTGTGGAAGGAAAGAAATTTTTCCAGGAAAACTATTCTCACATTTACTACATCTTTTACGACAACTTTGGAGTTGTAGAGAATGATCTGAAACAGAGAGGTAGGAATCTTAACATTGTTTCTTTTTGGATTGCTCATCAAAGACATTTCAATATAGGCTGTGATCACCATGGATGCTGTTGTGTTCTTTAGTACAATCTAGCAGGCTTGCTTACTTGCTTATAAGCCACCATTATAAAACATAAAAAGAAGATTACTAAATGCAGTGTAATAAATGTTTCAAGTTCAAAATCAACAAACCTTCGACTTGATGTGGTAGTAGCATTTTCATTTTCAATCTTCAACATGGGCATATTGCAGGACTGGATCCTACCTGGCATTTTAGAAACATACTAAATTATAGGGCTGTGCATTGGCAAATACATTTATTGCAGTATATTGCGATTCAGGTACCAGTATTGTGATGCATATTGCGATATACTGTAAATGTTTGACAGTAAGTGACAGTAATTGTACATGTCGATCCTATTTACCACATTATAAGTCCCTAAAAATATATGTTATGGTTCTGATAACAGTAATCTCAAAATTAGGTTGCATAGTCAGGGATTCTAGTTTCTTTTTATCAATATAGTATTACAGCATGCCGTTTTGTCATTGAATAACAAAGGAAAACATCTGTTGTGAATGAAAGTCTGTATAGATTTTTTATTTAAACCATAAAGATGATCACAAAAAAAGTACCCAATATACTGGTTCTCAGAAAATATATTACAATATGTATCGTTTGAAAAGAGTATTGTGGTATACCGGCAATACCGTGCAGCCCTACTGAATGATTAGTTGCAAAACATTGGACACGGACGGTAAAAATGAACATGCATGCTACTTTGCATGACCCTGATTAAATAGGGATAAGAAATTATTTGCATCTGCTGTCTACAGTGCTCAGTTTTATTTGTAATGGGTGTGTAAAACACATCTAAGAAATGTTTTTATTATTTTAGGAAAGTACTGACGTCAACATGATTATGGTGTGGAAATACATAAGATTTGTTAGGGTTTGATTTAAGCATGTTAAGCATTTAGAACTCACACTGGTGCTACCTGAAACTGCAAAATGCATCCTCATGGTTATTCCAACTTGCACTCAGCCAGTGTGCGAAATACTTTTCAAATTTTGCTAGCCAGTCGGGCAAGCTATGCCTGAAAGTTACTAGCCCACAAAATAATTCACTAGCCCGAAGTTTGAATGTAGAAACTAAGCAAAAGATGACAGAAAGGTAAAATATCATCAAAATCAAATGACCCCATGAAATTTCACTAGCCATTCGGGCCAGTGTCGGTAGAGATTTACTGGCCCAGGTGGATTTTTACTAGTCACGGGCTAGCGGGCCAGTGTCTATTTCGCACACTGCACCCAGTGAATGTTGATATTTAGCTGTTCAAAGAGCACAGACTGCAGTTGTAAAACAGAATGACAAGGAACTGACTTGAAGCAGTGACTCTGATGTCAACACGGAAAGTGATTGAATGACAAGGAACCATTCATGTCATTAAATAAGCGACAACAGGATAAAATGTGTTTATCAGACCCTGAATGATTTTGTTTTCATGTTCTGAATCATCAATACCAAAACTCAAGCATTATGTATAATTCCATGTTGAGCAGTTGGTGCAACCTGCTTTTGTCTGGTGCAACTAGATTATTACCTCAGGTTGCACCTGTACAAGTAACGGGTGCAAGTAGGTTTCATTTTATTAAATCTTTTTGTAAACAGCATTTGTTTGCTTGCTGAAAACTTGGTGCATATGACTATTGGCATTCAAGCTTAAGGCCATTCATGGCCAGATGTTGTCACCATGACAATATTGACATGGCTCACAGTCACATCAAGTCAAGTTTATGGTCAGCACATGTCATGTTGTAATGATGTAAACAATGGGAAGATTAGTATACTTCATTTGATCAAAACACCTTTCAGTCAGTTATGATTAATTATGGATACATTTATCAATAATTGTCTTAAGCCACTGTTAGGCATACTGTCAACATTAATGAGTAAGTAAAACACTGGTAGACATAATGTATTGACACACTTCGTATTGAAACTTACCCATTTTTGAGTACCCTGTTATGTTTCACAGAATCACAACTCTTCTGGTATAGGATTTATTTACGACTAATGATCATATTTACTGATAAAATCAATTGAAATCTTTCAATTGCGGTATACTATAATAAAAAAATGTGAGAAATAAACATGGTAAATGTGTATTTCTTACACAGTCATGAAACTTAGCTGGTGACATTTGACTTTCTACTAAGTTCGGTATGTTTCCCACCATTTGTGTCAGCAGCGTGGAAGTGCATATAGCTTTCTTACTAAGATGGTAGAGGCATTGGACCTCCAATGTTCACGTTGTATTGCATTAAGTATTGCATTAAGAATGTGGTACCCAAAACCAGAAAAGAGACTCTCTTTAATTTGCCAGAGTGAGCCCCATGACTAATCATGCTGATGGGTTTTTGTTTACAAAAATGTCAGTAACATTCTTCTGATTAGTATTGATTAGCTCAGGGATTTACCTTGAGTCCTGTATTTGAGGGTCCCTGGGACTCATGCTTATAATTTTAAGGGGTCTTGAACAACAAAATTGGGGTCGCAGACACTTCAATATTATTACTAATACTGTTATTGTATTGTGTATCATGATCATCACATTAATTGTTACAGTAATGAAATTGCAAATGATACCATAACTCAGCTGGTAGCAAACTCAGCGATTACTTATTGTTACCTGATTGGAATTTTTACAAAAGTATTTGGGCTTTTTCTGCATCTCTGTGGATGCACTAATAAATTTTGTTGCGTCCATTGTCAATTTTTATACGTATAGGATGCAGAAATTCACGTCCTGTAAATCCCTGTTAGCTTATTTTCATATGCATAAGGGATTGGACGCGAATGTAAGAATATATTGATAGTGATCAGCTGTCATCTTATTTCATTGAAGTTCAAGTGGTTTGTTGGATATGATCTGACAGCAGTATTTGGTTTACTTCCTTCTTGGATTTCAATCACACATCAGGACCCTCTCTGATTGGTTGATCAGCATATAGTCAGTTGTGGCACATGAGAAGTCATGGTAGATCACACTGCCTGTAGAACAGTGCTGGTATTCATTTGATTCTGTTTACCTTTTTTTCCCACCCAATCCACAGCTCTGCCTCACCCACCAAACATATATGGGTCATAAATGATGCACAGAACTAACAAGTATTTTGAATATTTTGCCAGAGTATTAATAATGTTTTTTAAAACTATTTCTTGTACTATAGTGTACACACGCTAGTACACCTCCCCATTCTTGGCAAAGCAGTGGCTTTTTGTAGATATTGTTCACATCCAGGAAACACTTCAAGTAAACAGGATATAACAAACAATGTGAAAATGAGAAATCGGAGATAAACAAGACTAGACATGATGATAATTTCAGTTAATGTCCCGAATTTGAGTAAATTTCCTGATTTTGGTTATGCTGGACACTATTTTGTATGCCCAGATAAAGCTTATGTGACAATGTAATAGTTTGTCAGCTTACCCTACATAACAATCAGCTTAGCACATTTATTTTGGTTTTGAAATACACAATATTATAATTAAAAAGCACTTTTATACAAATCTTTGAAGATACATTTTCTGAAATAATTGTTGTACCAGGAATATTATATTGTAATTCATGTTTATTTTAGTTGTCACTGTTTAACTTTATGGCTTCTCATGAGATTTTCCGATGTGGAAAATAATACATAGTGACACATAATAGTCAACAACATAGTTAACTACACTGCAGAAAGTCGAATTGTTTTGCACAACCAAATCATTTCAACGCTTCATGGAAATATCCAACTGTTCATTGACATACTGGTAAATGATAAGTGTGGTTATAGAAGTTGCTGTTAGGAAACCATCAAGAAAATCATCTGTTAGTAAAAATGTACACCATTCCTTCTACACACCTTTTAAAAAAAATGTGCATTATAATATAGAATTGAAAATAACATCTTCATGAAAAAACACATACATATTCATTACCACTTATTCTAAATACGCATAATATTTCTAACTTTGTGTTTTCAGTAGAGCCTGGTGAACCATGTCATACCACTTATTCTAAATACGCATAATATTTCTAACTTTGTGTTTTCAGTAGAGCCTGGTGAACCATGTCAGTTCGGTTCTTTTTACCAGAACACAAATATGTTTTGTTTGGATTATAAACTTGAATGATCACAGGGCAATATTGTTGAAATTATTCGTTAAGTTATTTTAATAGAAATGTATGTATCTACTCACTCAGACAGATCGTATGAATGACACCTTTCATTCCATTCAAGATTACTCAGCCAGCTTCCATTGTGGTCACATTGGTTCAGTTGTAATGATTTGTTGATACATTCCTATTATGGTATTCATTGATTATTACAGTCTGTAGATATGGTAGAAACATGATAAGATTGATAAGATTATATTATGCAGATTGTGACTTGAACCACCGTCTAAAGAGAGCTCTTGCATGAATACGTCAGGCCTCTCATGTCTGTATACCCATGAAGGTCCGTGTTAGAATATGCATCTTCAGTAACCCATGCTTGTCGTAAGAGGCGACTAACGGGATCGGGTGGTCAGACTCGCTGACTTGGTTGACATATGTCATCGGTTCCCAGTTTCGCAGATTGATGCTCATGGTGTTGATCACTGGATTGTCTGGTCCAGACGCATTTATTTACAGACCGCTGCCATATAGCTGGAATATTGCTGAGTGTGGTGTAAAACTAAACTCACTCACTCTCTTAAATCTCTGTAAACATAGCAAACTATTAAATTTAATCCTCTTTATCAAACTTCCTTCTCTCTGTACAAGGAAACTTCTTGTTGTTTATGTATTTCGCTTAAGGATTGAATGTGTCTTTTTTGTATTTAGATATAAATCAGACTACAAACTGTATGCATCCTTATAGCCTGCTTTGGTGGGTGTGGCTTATATTTTATGTTCATTTGGAAGTGAAGGCAATAACCATGGTAACACATGTTT